TTTTTGCGTATATGCTAATTTCAGATTCATTTCTTTTTTTCTGGAGGCATAAAAAAAGTTTTAGGAATAAATTTAAAAGTACACACTCAAAGAAATAGAGTGTGGGCCCTCAAGAAAGAGAGGTACATTATTCCCTTGAACTAGGATCATTTATGTTTCCCTTGAGAAGGTGAGAACTCTATTGGAAGTTCCGTCCTGGGTCTTGGTTTATGGGAAAAGGGTGGCCCACCCACAGAAAGATAATACTCCATTCATAAGGAAAATCCCACTTTATAGGTGAAAAGAAATGATCCACCTTCACAGATGGAAAAGGCCAGTTTTCAGGTGAAAAGGTATTTCCCAGACAGTGTGTTTTATGAGAAGAGAAAAACATTATCTCTTTCTACCTATCTTTATATCTTCTGTCCCACCTCATTTCTCCCCCTAAGACTTGGGTCCCTTATTCTCAAGGGATACAGAGGGGCCCAAGGTCCTCCTTCTTATAATAGCTTCAGGCTGAGGAAGGACACTGATCCTGCCTAGCCAGGGATCAGAAAGTTTCGCCCTCTCTTACAGGAGACAAAAGAAGATGGATTTTGTTGAACAATCATCTTTTGATAGTCGGAAAAAGCAGACAAGAACATCAGCAGGTCATTGACACAAGCTTCATTTTATAACCATTTTAAATAAACAGGGGCTTAAAATTAAAAGCAACGTATTAATGAATGTCAACTCAAAAAGTTGCAGAAGTCAGACAAAATCAGCATTTGGGATAAGGCTTTTATCTTTCATATTAACCTCTATTTGTAGAGAATAGTTAACCCAAGTACAAGTGTATTCTGGTGCAATACAAAAGCAAAAAGTACAAAACGAATAGGTTTATTGAGCAGAGGTTGTGGAAAGGAGCACACAACCCATGGCGGCTGGGCTGTCTCCTTTGATCAGATACCGAGAGGCAGAGGGTCTGATGACCTCTGGCCGGAAGTGGTGCATGGGGCGGGCACTGATGACGTGTGAGGAACTGATTGGAACTCTGTGCCTGCAAACAGGAAGGGGAGTTGCAATTAGGGCTGAAAAAGAAGCAGGAAGTGGTAAGTGTTCCCACTTTGGCCTTCTGCCACGTTAGACCACTGCCAGATTTGTACAGTAATTTATACTAGGGCAGGAACCTTTCAATAAGAGGTATAGGTTAAGAACATACAGACTCTTCCCTGTTTTGTGAAAGAAATCTAATGTCTTTTCTATTCTTCTTTTCCTTCCCTCTTTCCTTTTCTCTTTCTTGGTTGTCTTTCTTTCTTTTTGATGCTGGGGATTACTGGGGAACCCAGAGCCTTTGCATTGAGCTTTTTATTTTTTATTATGAGACAGGGTTTTACTAATTTGCTAAATTGCCCAGGCTGGACTTGAACTTGTGATTCTCTTGTTTTAGCCCTATAGCGCTCTGGGGATTACAGTTATGGGTCACGATGCCAGCTCAGATGTTTTTTTTTAACATTAAATTTGGAGGAACAAACATCATTAAGAGAGACAAATGAGCATTTATGGAAAATAATGCAGTATCTGTGATAGACTGGGTTAATAGCTTTCCCATATAAACAGCTTATTAAAGTCCATTAAAAAGTGCACATGGATTTGTAAAAAAGACAAAGAACAAGAATAAGCAACTCTCGAATGGTTACAAATACCCTCCACTCCAGCCCAAAACAAAACAAAAAACATGTTTAACCATAACGTTGCAAATTATAACTATGATCTAAAAGTTTTGGCTTGCAAGATTAGCTGGGGAAAAATAGTACATGGAGTGTTAGCAGGGGTACTCACATGTACTGCTGGTCACATATAAAATTCACATTTTGGGAGGGCAGTGTAGCACTGTTTGCCGAAAGATCTATAATATTCTGACTGTTTGGTCCTATGATTCTGCTTCTTGAAATTTATTTTAAAGATCAGATATGTGTCTGTAGAGCTATGTTCACTGCAAGTCCATGTAATAGAAAACAAGGAGAAACGCCAACATTCCCGAGGACAAGAAATAGAATAAATTAATTATAGTACATTCAATCAATAGGCTAGTGACCATTAAAATAATAAGATAGGGCAGGGGATGTAATTCAGTGCTTGCTTAGCATGTGCAAGACCCTGTGCTCCATTCTGAGAGACACAGAAAAGAAAAAGAAAAAAAAGAGCTATATTTATTCACAGCGGAAGCTGCTCAGAATCATTGTTAGGTGAGAAAAATGGAGATATAGAACTGAATGTTTCATAAGGTCACCTCTCCATGTATGTATATAATATTTCTTGAAATAATATCAATAGTTATATGATTTTTGGAGACAGGGTCTCACTATGCAATTTAGGTTGGCCTTAAACTCACGGTGTAGGGTAGGCTGGCCTCAAATTTGTAGTGATCTTCCTGCTTCAGCCTCTTGAGTGTTGAGATTAAGATATGTGTCACTGAACCTGGCCAATGTTTAGATACTGTTTCTTTACCTGATATACCAAGACATGCAGCATTTTCCCACTTAGCTGTGGAACGTAAAATTGCAGACTCATGGAAGTAGAAAGTAGAATGGTGGTTGCCAGAGGAGGCAGGAGCGCGGTGATAAGAAGAGGATAGATACGAACAAAGGTTATAAAGTTGTTAGGTAGGAGGAGTAAATTCTGGTGGTTTGCTTCCCAGAATGACGACTATAGTTAATGATAATGACTATTTCAGCTGGTCATGGTGGTGCACGCCTATAATCCCAGCACTTGAGAAGCCGACACAGAAAGATCACCATGAATTCGAGGTCAGCCTGGCTACATAGAGAGTTCAAGGCCAGTCTGAACTGCATAGTGAGACCCTGTCTCAAAAAACAGTAAGAAAAAAGAATAATGTAATTTGAAAACTACTACTAGATTTTAAAGACTCTTACCACAGAGTAATAATAAATAAGAAGGGTCAAAAATATGTAAATCAGCCTGATTTACTCCTTCTATAATGTATTCATCACCCACATCATCATATACCCCATATTATTTGCCCATTAAAAAAAAGTTTAGAGTGAAATATTATGATGGTTATTTCTGGGTGGTAGGATTATGGTAGTATTTCAAATTATTTTTGAAGTTTTACTTTTTAATATGTCTACAGTGAAATATGAATTATTTATTAGAAAAAAGAGGGTTGAGTCATTCCTTTTAGTTATTTGAAAATATTATATTTTCTGGGGTGTCTTGATATACTTAGAGCCCCGAGTGACTTCAAAGTGCTGCTGGTCGTGGTTTTGATGGGCTCCAGGCCCCAGGCCACTTCATAATTCTGCTATAGTTGAGACTTTCTTTGCTCAGAGTCTTTGGGAGGCAGCCTGGGGCAGGGAGCCCTTGGTCACTGAGAGGGGCCCTCACCAAGGCACTTGTGGTATTGGTTCCAGGATTTCCAATTTGGCTTGGATCAAGTGTAGTTCGTTTGGCCAAGTCTAGGAGCGCTGAGCTTGTTGATGAACGGAGAAGGATTTAAATATACAGAAGCATGGATTTCAAAAATTCAAATAGGATGCCTCATGGGACAACTCTGAAGTCCTTCTAGAAACTGCACTCTCTGCTTCCTCATATGCTTCCTGTATTAGTTATCTATTATTGCATAACAAATTATTTAAAATTGCAGTGACTCACAACAATCATAATCATTTGAGTATCTCTGATGCTTTCTGTGGTTGGAGATTCAAGCAGGGGACGTGCAGAGACAGCTTCTCTCTGCTCCACAATCTCTAGGTCTCAGCTGGAAAGACTTGGTGAGCCAGAACCAGAATCCTCTGACGTCCCACTTGCCCTCAGTGGTTGATGCTGGTTGCCAGCCAGAACAACTATGCATCCTTGTGGTCTTCTCGAGACCCAGACAGCAAAGTATCCTGGAATGAGCCCATTGGAAGCTGTGTCCTTTCTACCACTTAGCCTCGGGTGTCGCATTAGCCTGTGCCACCATACTGTATGGGCTGGGGCAGCAGTGAGCCTCTGCCCAAGTTCCAGAGGAGGAAACAGTTTTTGATGGAGGGGCCACCGTCACACTGAAAGAAGAGCATGTGGGATGAGAGATGTTGATTGAAGCAGCCAGAGCAGGAAACTACACCCTTCCCAAGTTTCTGTGAACTCACCAAACATTGTGGATCCATATTGTAAAAATGAAATCAAATCTTTCCTCTCCACCTTTTCGCCCTTCTCTCCCATCCTCTAGCTTTGCTTCCTTCACTTTCCTGTTTCTTCCTTTCAGTTATAAGCAGCACAACTGACCCTGAGTTGTTTCACAGGATCATCTTCATAGTCTGCTCAGAGGCTCCTTAAATCATTTTCTTTTTGCTATGTTTACATTTGATTTTCTCCATCACCATATCCTTTATGCTCTAGGGATCAGGAGGCTGTCTCTCCAAATGATCCCTTGTTACATCTTACCTAATTATTTCCAAGAAAGATTTTGTAGCATTAAAAACATTAGAATGGGGACAATGCTCTTATTTAACAAATCCTTTAGAGTGCTCGCTAGGTGCCAGGCACTGTTTTAAGCAGGCACTTTACAAAATATTATCCTGCTTCACTTTCAAAAATTATCCCAATATATAGGTGAGGAAATGGCGGCCCAGAGATGTTAAGCAACTTGCCCAAAGTCACAAAGCTATATCACATGGCAAAACTAGGTGTCGAACTCAGAGCATCTGCCTCCCAAATCTGTATTCTTAGCCACCATGGTGTGCTGTCCCTGTATCACTGTTCTGCTGGCCCCTGAGTAACTTGAGCAACAAGGACTCTTTAGTCTCTAGAAGAAATGCAAGCTTTCAGATGTACAAAACAGTAGGTAGCTAGGGAAATATGCCTGGATGTCTGTGCAAGGCCTGGAAGGGAGGGTTGTGTAGCAGCCCCAATCTAGCCCTGTCCCTGCCCTAGCAACACTGCTCTATCCAGAGGGACTGAGTGGGAGGAGCGATGGCCATTTGCTAGAGTTAAGTGGTGAAATAGAAAAGAAACTCAAAGTATTTGTTAATATTTTGTATTGCTGCTTCCTCCTGCAGTTGCAGAGAGACAAAGAGATTTCCAGTGACTTCCGGTAAAGACTTGTGAGACAGGAACAAAGTTCTGCAGACACCAGGCCTGGGACTGTTCCGTCTTCGAAAAGTAATCTTCCCCAAACAGCCTCTCCAGACAGTGTCAGGTTTCCTGGGCTGAGTATTTATTTAGGAGGCTGCTGGTGATTCTAATCGCTTGGGACATCTTAACAACTGAAGTCGCATTTGACGGAAAAACTCATAAAGAAGCTGTGGGTGATTGAGGGCATGTTGTCAGAAGCCTGGCTCCAAATATCTGTGATGCCACGTAGGTGGAATTCTGCAGTGAGAATGCAGAAATATTTTGATGAAAATATCAGAGGGGTTTATCTGATTCTTCTAATACAGTGTTTTCAACAAGAAAGAAACAAGTTCTCCATGAGCTGAAAAGCACCATTTATTTGAAGTAAGTAAGTAAATGAAGTTATTTGTTATTGGAGTTAAAAAAAAAAAAAGCTAAGCTATAACATGGTTCCTTGAGGCAGATTTTCAGGAAGCCCAGAAGGAGGAGAGAAAGGAAAGAACTAAAAGAGAGAAGGCTTGGAAAAATATGCAGCTTGGTCTTGGTCATTCGCCAGGAAAAGCTGGGTAATGAAGGACTAAAACCAAAACAAAAACCAAAAGGAAACAAGGGTAAGGAAAAGGCCACAGGGAATAAAGAACTGGCCATGTGGTCAATAAAAATGAAAAGCCCCGAGTCTTGTCACGGGTAGAGGGTGTGGGCCCAGGGAGTGGGGCGCAGGCCAAGGTCAAACGCAGGGTGGGAAAAAAACTCCCCACAAATGGCAAATAAATGAACAGAGAAGAAAAGAGGAATACGGAGCTAGAATAGAAGAGAAAAGGAAGCAATTTTAACAGGAAGCTGACCAAAATAGATATGTATAGTGTGAGCTGAAGGGAAAGGAAGAGAAGGGGCAGTTAACACTATGCAAGCTGAGGAATTCAAGGAGGGTTGATTTTCAGTACTAAACAGCTGAGGTCCTTCCAATTACCTGCAGAGTCTCTGCAGAGTGTGGACTGTAGAGGATGTTGTCACAGGAACAGCTTCCGTGATTTGGCCAGGACCCCAACTGCTGGGTTTTAAGTGCTCCAGAGGCTGAGGGTGGCAGGCAGCAGGGTCAGGTGGGACAAGGGGATGTGCAAGGCCACAAGGAAGGCACTGGGATGCGCCAGTGGTTGGTTGGTGAGATGCCCTGGCCGGGGCTGGGTGGAGCTCAGTGGTAAAGCACTTGGCTACCACGCACAGGCCCACGGCTTCATCCCCAGCACAGATACCACACCAGCCTAGCAGAGCCCAGCCCAATCTAACCCTAGCCAACTGGCTGTAAGTATCACAGCAGAAAGGGACCAGGCCTCGTCTAGCTGCTAGCCTGAGTCGTCCCCTGACTATGAGGGCCACATGGCCTACATCTGTTGATGTAGCTCTAGGAAGAATTCTGGCCTCAGCTGGAATTTCTCGGGGGCCCTGGTTCCATATGCTGAGATCAGCAACAGGGAAACAGTGCTGCTTATGTTGTCTTGACCTTAGGTTTTTCTTTTTCTTTTCCTCTTTTTTGGTCTCCCTAACTGGAAGCCACAGATATACCTGTTCTTAGCCACAGTTCTCCTTTTTGCCCTTCTTTTGGTCCTGGCTTTGTTCCTTATGTTTAAGGCACCGTGGGCACCTGTCTGCTTCCTAATACCCTCCAAGGCTGGGGCTTGTGGTTTAGTCTTGCAGGTTCCTTGCATAATTCTGAGTCCTGCCCAGACTCCTTCCCAGTGATTGGCTCCAGCTATTAGACTCTGTCACCCATTGCCCATCTGTCCCCTTGGCTCAGCACTGTCTAGGCCTGGATTCCATCACATGCTTTAAGCACCTTTGTGGTCCTTCTGTCACCCAACTTTGATCTTTCCAGTGCTGTCCCCATCATGGCCTCTGCCATCCTTTGCCATAGCTGTGAGACTCGTGGGCTGCTCTCAGCCCAGAATTGAGGGTCTCTTGCCCTGTATTCCCACAGCTGTGCCTGTCCCAAAAACATCTGTGAATTGGAGGTGGGAAGCACAGTTTTAGATGTCAGTCTCTCCCAGCCTGTTCCATCTACTGTAGACAACTTGGTCATTCCCAGATGGCTTTTTGGACTTAAAAAAAAGGAAAAGAAAAATCAATAGCTTGTTTCAGTATCTTCAAAATATTTTACTAGCAGGGTTGTATATTTAACTACACTGGAGTCCAGCAGAAACTAGGAAAAACACATTTAAAATTCAGAGATGTGGCGGATACTGGCCCATTCATAGCCCTTTGGCACCGGCTCCTCCAGCACAGGACTGAGCTTCGACTGAGGCACTGGGCCCACTCCCCAGACTGTGGGCTGCCAGGCAGGAAGTACCAAGAGCCACCCCCAGCCCAAGATGGAAGGGACTTTAGGATCACTGCCCGTGCTTCCTATTTTTAGTGTGTGGTGTATGCACAACCCCAAAGCATGTTCTACACTCTCTTCCCGAGTTCCTCAGTGGGATGGAGCCTTCATTGCCCAGAATTAGAACATGCTCAATAACTCATCCTTTTGAAAAATGAGTGCATATTAATTATACATAGTAATGGGTTTCATTGTGGCCTTTTTATACATGCATATAATATACTTTTATCATATCCATCTTCCCATTACCCCTCCCCCCTCCTCTCGCCAATAGTCTTCCTTCTACTTCCATGTTGGTTTTTTGTGGTTGTTTTATTTTTTTCATCCCCAGATCACACATGAGAGAAAACATGCAATACTTACCTTTCTGAATCTGGCTTATTTCAGTTACAGGATGCAATACAAATAACTCACTCCTCCTCCTCCTCCCCCCCTTCTTCTTTGAGACAGGATCTCATTATGCAGTTCAGGCTGCCCTTGAACTCACTATGTATCCTACATAGTGACTCATGGCAATCGTTCTGCTTCAGCCTCCAGAGTACTCGCGTTACCGATTTGTGCTGCCATGCCTGGCTAATAGCACACCTCTTACAGCTTCTTTTCTTTATGTCACTTTCCAATTCCTCTATTGGTGTTTTCTGAGATTGCCTCTCCCTTGTCTCCCAAATTTGGGCTCATATGCTTGTCTTGGAGCCTGCTTCTGGAGACATCCAAACTAAGGGGAGAGATCTTGTGTTCCAGGTTAAGGATTTACTCCTCTTCTTGAGAAGCACACTCACTTTCAACACAAGCATCTTAATGCATTTTCTATAATACACTGAGACAGGAAATAGCAAAGTCCCCTGTGAATAGCACATCTTACCTGGGTCACATGAACTCTACTGGCCTTTGAGATAATGGGGGATATGATACTTGGGGGAAAAATAAACTTAGGTTATAATTAAGCAGCTGTCTTCACCTCAGTACTCCTATAAATTTTGTTTGTTTGAGAAAGGGTGTCACTTTGTAGGCCAGCCTGGCCTTGAACTTGTAGCAATCCTCCTGCCTCAGTCTCCTAATGCTGGGTTACAAGTGTGTGCCACCATGCCTGGTTCTTAATGAGCTTTGTACATTTCCAGAAGTGCATTTCACAGGCTTCCTAAGTTTACCTGCTCTTACAGTCCCATTTCCTGCGCATGCCTTTCTGGAGGCCTGTGTTGCCAGAAATACAGTAGGGAAAGACCTTGGTGCCTGACCTACAGAATTAAGCAAGCTCATTGGTGGATGGAATGCTCATTTCAGGGCACCATGTTTTCTTTAAAACCTCAGCCAACTAGAACAGACAGCTATGGGCTGAGGTCAGGTGTTAACGTTTCTGTTATACAGAAAACCAGTGATATCATTGGTTTGACTTGACCGAACATTTGATGCGGCAGAGATACTTGTTTCCTTAATGTGTGCTCTGCAGCAGGCAGTGTGAGCATCAGCTGCAAAACTGAGAAACACTGAATCTCAGGCCTCATCTAGACCTGAGTCCCAGCGTGTACTTTAACAAGAGCCCCAGATGATTTCTAGGTACATGAATATTTGAGAACCCCAGGCTTAGCAGTCAACTCAGGTGAACTTCCGCCTGGTGTAGGGATCTCCTGCAGTCTGTAGTCCTTGTGGCAGGAAATCACTACCTCACTGCATTATTAGCAAGGTCCGTGATTAGAAAATGAGTCTTTCTGGTGAGCAAAAATTTCTTCTCTGCATCTTCCATTCTTGGTTCTGCGAGGAATGAGACAAAACTGTCCTTTAGAAAACAACTCTGTGACTATTCCAAGGCAACTAACTGTCTGGTCTCTGGTAAGTTTTGTCTTTTCTTAGTTAAACACTTACTGGTTTTTCAAACATTTTTATGCCATCAATTATGCACCAGACACTGTGTCAAAAGCTGAGGATACAGAAATGCACAAGGTAGAAATGATCCTTGAGAACACGCTGTCTCTGAAGGGAAGCAGAATTAACACAAAGGATTATTTTGACTGCTGTTTCTGCTTATGGAAGATGAAGATGTAAGTGCCTTTCTCTGTCCTTTGCACTAAGCACTGAGAACCCCCTGGATAGTCTGTGTTCAGTGAACCTAAGAAGACTGAGAGGTGGCAAGAAGGCTGTCCAGTTGCAGCCGTCCTGAGCTCCTCAGTCTCCTGTTCTGCCAGCCGCCTTCAGCAGGTTATTCTACATTGGCCCCAAAATGCACAAAAGTGGCCACGTGTGAACAACAAACCGAACTCACTGCCTCCCAGAGCCTCTGCCTTTCACAGCCCAAACCAAGGTACCACCATCATGTGTTTTTCCTTTCCCTACACCCTCAGATGGGAGGAATGACATGGCAGTAAGCTCCCTGAGTTCTCCTTTTGCCTCATCTGTCCAACCCTGGCTACTGGAGAAGCTGGCAACACAGAAACACCAACTTTCGCCAGCTGCAGCGGGGAGCTCTGAGTCCCCTCTGTCAGGGGTGCCCAAGACGGGAGCCTGGCTTTCTGCTCGAGGGCACTCTGTGGAGGCATTATCATATGTTTGATCACCCTCATAAAAACGGCCATGAAAAAGGACTTCCGGAACTGTTGTGGCACACATTTGTGATCCCAACACTCTGAGAGGCTAAGGCAGGGGGCTGCAAGTTCAAGCCCTGCCTGGGCAATTTAAAGACTTGGCAAGACCCTGTCTCAAAATGTAAAGAAATGAAAAGGGCTAGGGAGGTAGCTCACTGTGAAGGCCCTGGGTTCAATCCTCAGTAACCTTTTCTCCTCCCCTCGTAGGCTAAGCGAGTTTGATACGAAGGGGATTATTCTGAGGAGGATTAATAGCAATATATCTTTTACTGTAATAAATTTTTATTTTTATTATTATTTTTTGAGACAGGGTCTCGCTGTGCAGTTCAGCCTGTCCTTGAGCTCACTTTGTAGCCCTGACTGGTCTCAAACTTGCAACCATCCTCCTGCCTCAGCCTCCCAAATGCTGCGATTACAGGTGTGAGCCACTATGC